GAGTAGTCGACGCCGTCTTCCCAGATGCGATCTTCTCGTGAGGAACGGCTCATTTCCCAGTCAACCTCTTCGCCATTGGCACCGCCCCCTAGCGGAAACAGAAGCACCACCGGTCGGTAACCTAGGGCTGCGCGGTCGCCTTCCCAATCACCACCGTAACTGCACCACCCCCGCTAGCAAAACCCTAACACTAGCACATGAAGTTGATCGCCATGCGGTCGCCTCCCTGTCGCCTTAGTTTTTCGCTACGCGATGGACCCGCCCGTCGATGGGTCAATGAGGCACGCATGTTCTTAAGTTTGAGACGATGCTATTCAGCACTAGTTTTGACCCATGTTAATTGGCACTCAAACGGAGGGAGTAGAAAAGTAGAAAAAAATCACAAAATACTCCCTCCGTTTTTTTTAGTCTGCATATAAGATTTGGTCAAAGTCAAACTTCGTTAACTTTGACTAAGTTTATAGGAAAAAACATCAAGATTCATAATCTGAAATCAATATTATTAGATGCATCATGAAATTAATTTTCATACCATATAACTTTATTATTGTAGATGTTGATATTTTTTTCTATAAAGTTGGTCAAACATTACAAAGTTTGACTTTGATTAGATCTTATATGCAGATTAAAAAGAAACGGAGGGAGTATCACAAATATCTTTGCAATCCACCCTCATGTTGTCGCTGAATTTCTTTCCCGCGAGGGTCCCACCTTTGTTCTTTTTTTTTAGACAAACCGCGAGGGTACGCTCACCCTCGTGTTTGTCGCTGATTTTTTTTCTTGCGAGGCTCCCAGCTCGTGAGGTACGGTCACACTCAGCAGTAGGCTCATTACTAGGCTAGACATACATAGCTGCATTTCCATCGCCTGACCGAACTACATCGTCACCCCTGACGTTTTGAGGGAAAATGGACACCTCAGATTGGATACATCAGCATCGCATACTGTATATATACAGTGTACTGTCAATGTCTACTGTAGCATAGATGTACTTCAGCTGTGACTTTACATTATTACTCTTAGCTCTGGAAATTGGCAGGGGCACGTTAGTGTGGGTGGACTCACCTGCAAGCCTTGCCACACGAGGGCATAGTAAAAAAGAAAATATCTGAAAAAGGTTTAAGTTTCAACAATGAAACTTACAGGTTTTGCATGTAAAAATCCAAAGTTTCTACAAGTTTTAGAGATATAATTTTAAGAAAAAAAATATGTCGGTCGTAGACACAAAATAATTGATTTTTATCGGTTGCTCGTACTAAGTTTTAATACTTTTTTAAAGTCGTCAAAATATATTTAAATTGGATCTTATGTCAAAGCGCTGGTCACGAGGAACACAAATATGAAAACAAAATTTAATTTGATTTTTTTATTTAAAAGATATAGGACTTTGAAAATCAGAAGCCAAAATAGCGAAGATGACCGGCAATCGATGCACCCTCCGGAGGAAGTACCACCACGCTCCTAGCACTCGAAAGCGTCGCGTACCGAGCAACACCTTCAAGAAGGAATGCGATGACGACACTGCTGCCCGGACTAGTCCTAGGGTTTCCCTCGGTATGCAGAGGGTAGTGGGGAGGGGCATGCCCCCTTCAGGAAGGCCCGACGGCGTCCGCAGGTGTCGTCGCGTCAGAGCCGGACGAGCAGTCAGGTATTTCTCCCGACCCAAACACCTACCACCACCCCGGACGCTCGGTAGTGTACCGCCGAACCTGCCGCCCACTAGCATATGCCACCACGATCAACGAACGGTCTCCGCCGTCTCACTGAGTCCACGGACACGAGACCTGGAGGACGGAAGAGGAGACATTGGGCTCGGGGGCGTCCGCAACACAGCTGGCGGGAGGGGACAATCTCCACCACCATCCCGGAGCCGACCGGACGCGGCGACAGGGACCTACCAGGCCCCTACTGGCCCGGCCAGAACCAAATGGATCCGGACAGCCCCCACCGCCCCGCTGGAGTTCACCGCCTCCTTGCCGCCGCCACCAGGGAGTAGCGCCGCGGGCTCTGACTCCCCGGCCCGCCCCAAGCCAGATGGGGCCCGAAAAGGGCCCAGATCTAGGCCGCGCGGGTGCCGCCGACCGCCAACACCGCTACATCGTATCGCGACCAACTGGCCCGTCACCGCCAGCGTCATGCGGGCAGGGCTCGGCGGACCATGCCGGCGGCGGCGGCAGGGGAGAACGGCAGGGAAGGGGCTGCGGATCAGGGGGTTTGCCTTGGCCTATCGATTGGCCCAGCAGGATAAGGCTGTCTTTTTTCTCTGCGACTTGTGAGGGATATATGTATATATGCAGTGTGAAGATATACGGCATTTCCTAAACGGCGCCCTCTGCGCCCGTAACAACTGTTTGTGCAATGGGGCGCACACCCCCCATCCCACAGTGGGCCGGCCCGTCTTACTCTTTTTTCCCCTTCTTCTCTTAAATCTTTCAAAAAAGGTGCGTACGGGTGTTTCGAACCCTTCACCGCACGGTCTCCATACAAGCGCTGTAGCCAACAGGGACAACGTCCTTTTGTGGTTGAGAGGGTCTTTTATAGTTCCTCAAATAAAGAACGTGAACCTGTTTTGTGTTTTCTTTCTTTTTGGCCGGTTTTTCTTCTATTTTTCTCTTTTTATTTTTTCTACTTCGTGAACCTTTTTAGATTTATCAAACATTTGTTTTGAACCATTTTTAAATCCGTGAAATTTTTTAAAATTCAATGAAAATTTTGAAATTCCATGAATTTTTTAAAACGTGAACAATTATTGAGAACATGAACAAAAATTTATATACTATGAGCGATTTTCAAATATACACTGAACATTTTTTTCGGTGTATGATGAACAATTTTTAACTACTCAGCGAACATTTTTGCAATATACATTGAAATAATTTAAAACATATTTATACATTTTTTTATATAAGATGAACAAATTTTATACATTGAACATTTTTGTATTTTTAATCTGAACAAATTTTAACTACACATTGAACAATTTTGTGATATGTTCTGAAAAACCGTTTAAATATCCATTGAACATTTTTTATGTACACTGAACAATTTTTGGGAGGATTTTTTTGTGGTATAGATAAGGCGTCTCGTGGGCCGGCCCAGCACGCGCGGCTGTGAGCGCCAGCTTCCTGAACCGGCGCTTAAGGCGCCGGTTAGGAGCTCCCAAGATATACATGATGGATGACCACCTCGGATTGGGAAGTGGTAGCTGCTACTAGTAACCATGAAGACATGGCTGCTCCGGTTGCTACATCTTGTGCTCCTGCTCCTCCCTCCTCCCCTCCGCGACAACTTCATGGCGAGCCAACGGCCAAGTGGCGACGGCCTCGAAGTCCACCACCCGATAGTCATGACCGCCGGTTTTAGCTGCCCCGACCTGGAGGCCCGGCTGACGGAGGCCTACACGCCGTCGCTGCCGCGCTGCGGCGCGCTCAAGGGGAAGGGCTGGTTCCCGATAATACCACAACACCTGGGACCTGGTCGACCACGACTACGTGCCGTGCTTCAAGGAGCAGGCGAGCCTCGTGTACGACCCCGCTCTCAACGACTACCGGAACTTGCCCGGCGTCGAGACGCGCGTGCCCAACTTCGGCTCCGCCTACGGATTCAATGAGAAAAAGATTGTCCCGTAAGTTGGTCCACTGGTTAATTTAATTAATTATATATGCGTCAGTTCTTGCACTGGTTACTGGAATGCTCTGACGTTCCAAATGTCCAGCGACCGTGAGAAGCTCTGCTTGGTGAGCCTTCGCAAGGAAATAGAGGCGCTGGGATATCGCGACGGGGACACCCTTTTCGGAGCTCCGTACGACATGAGGCACGCACCGCCGCCGCCTGGCCAGCCATCCGAGGTGTACTCCGACTACTTCGCTCGTGTCAAGGAGCTGGTGCAGCACGCGAGCGAGAAGAACCAGAACAAGCCGGTCATCCTCATCGGCCACAGCTTCGGCACCAGGGTCGTTCTCGACTTCGTCAATTCAACCCCGTTGCCATGGAGGGAGAAGTACATCAAGCACCTGTTCCTCATCTCGCCTGCAGTCCCCACGGGCTTCACGATGGCCCTCACCCACCTCACCGCCGGCCCGTCTGTCTTCCCAGTCGCTACGGTTCCGTTCATGGAGTTGCGGGCATTGCGGAGAACTTTTGCCAGTTCTCTTTTGGCCATGCCGTCTCCCGTGGCCTTCGGGGACAAGCCCATCATAATAACCCAACGCAAGAACTACTCGGCGTATGACATCGAGGATTTTCTTCTGGCCCTCGGTTTCAGCGCCGAAGAAACCGTGCCCTTTGTGAAGCGGGTGCTTCCGACGATGCTGAACGTGGAGGCGCCATTGGTGCCAACGACGTACATCATCGGTACGGGGATCCAAACATCGGAGCAGCTGGTGTTCTGGGAAGGTAACTTTGACGTGGCTCCAGAGAACGTGTACGGCGATGGAGACGGGTCCATTAATTTGGTCAGCCTGTTAGCATTTGAGAAGGAGCTGCGTAGGCAGCAAAATCAGAATAATGCGCCCTACAAGTTCGTCGCCATTGCTAATGCTACGCACTCCGGTATTGTCATGCAGGAACATTTGCTCAGGAGGGTTATGAATGAAATTCTCGAAGCAAATCGCTGAAGAACATAAGGACATGTACCTTAAGATAAATATTGAGATGGAGAAAAAACTTCCCTTTTCTTAATTACGAGATGCCCTCTTAGCACAATATCTCTTCCGTATATGGACTATGTAAACATTTATTCACACAATTACGTTAATACGGGCAAGTCATGAACTAATCGTGTAAATGCTTATCAAACTTTGCTCGTGGTTTACCTATCTAAATAGTATTTTGAATTTTATTTGTTAATCACTTATTTGATATAAGAATTTATGGATTTACCAAAGAAAGTATGATTTTATTGGTAAGTCAACAAAAGATGTGATAGTTAAAAAGGTTTTTAACAAGAAGAAACCCGGTGAGAAAATCAAAGATATAAGAGGTAAAAAACATAATGGGAAAGAGGGAGAAGGAACATGCATAAAGTTGGACGAAGCACCAAAAAAAGGAATACTATTTTTTATAAGTAGTGTATAAAAAATTTAGGCCAGCGCTAGGCGCCGGCCGGCCCAAATTTCGGCCAGTCGGCTGCCTACCGTTAGATCTCACACGCATGAGTGGCTCTAATTAGCCCGTCGATTAGGTTGTCATCTTTCTCCTGCCCGCACACGCGCTTGGAGAAACAAAATGGAGGAGCTCCCGCGCTCGCCCGCCGCGTCGCGCTCGGTCTTGGCCGCCCCGCGCTCGCAAGTGCTTGCCGGCCATCCTGGGCCGCCTGTGCTCGTCGCCTCCCGTCATAAAATTACTGCCAAATTTTGGCGCTCCTTTGTTCCTCTCCCTGCGATACCCATCTCCTCTCGGTTCCTCCCGCGCTCGCACGTGCTTGCCGGCCATCCTGGGCTGCCTGTGCTCGTCGCCTCCCGTCATAAAATTGCTGCCAAATTTCAGTGCTCCATTGTTCCTCTCCCCACGATACCCGTCTCCTCTCGGTTCCTCCCCCTCACCATGGCCGGTTGGCCATCTCCACGTCGCCCTTGGCCACCCCGTGCCACTCGCGCTCGGCGTCTCCCATCGCAAAAAAACGCTGTGTGCGTCTTCGGCTCACCCTGTAGCTTTTTAAATCGTTGGTCACTGGTTGAAACTTTTCACATATACAGTTGAAGCTTTTCAAGCAATGGTTGAAGCCTTTTCCATTCGCTGTGCCAGGTTAAAGCTTTCTCAAATGTTGATTGAAACTTTTCAGGCAATGGTTGAAGCTTTTTTTTGTTTCGTTGTGCCCGGTTGAAGCTTTCTCAAAACGCTAGTTGAAACTTTGCTCATGCAAGTTGAAGCTTTTCATGTCAGCAGATAGCTTTTTCCGTTGCATGGTGCCCATGTTGAAGTTTTGTCTATCGTCGGTTGAAACTTTTGTCATATACACTTGAAGCTTTTTCTGTCAACGTTTGTAGCTTTTTCCACTGTGCAATGCCGGGTTGAAGCTTTCTCCATTGCCAGTTGAAACTTCCCATATACCATTGAAGCTTTTTGTGTCAACGGTTGCAGAAAACATGAGCACAGTTCCCCAGTTCGCCACGATGACCGTTGCATCTTGCCGCCGTGCGAGATGCAGCTGCGTCGGGCGCCGGTCGCAACTCGCAGCAGTGAAGGATGCAGCTCGGCACCATGCCGCGTGACCCTTACAACATTGTGCCCTTGCTTGCGTCGCGTGTGGCCAACCGGCGTTGCGACAACTCGCACATGAGCCATGGCGGAGGCGCCATTGGGGAGCATTGTGCTGCGGAGATGAGGGCGTTTGGTAGAGGGGCGGGGTGTGGATCATCAGAGAGAGAGTGGAAAAAGGGAGGAGGAAGTTCCATGGGGGAGGGTCACGGTGGTGACGCCGGTGGTGCGGATGGGGGAATCAGAGGAAGAAGATGAAGGAAATATGCCCTAGAGGCAATAATAAAGTTATTATTTATTTCCTTATTTCATGATAAATGTTTACTATTCATGCTAGAATTGTATTAACCGGAAACATGATACATGTGTGAATACATAGACAAACATAGTGTCACTAGTATGCCTCTACTTGACTAGCTCGTTAATCAAAGATGGTTAAGTTTCCTAACCATAGACATGAGCTGTCATTTGATTAACGGGATCACATCATTAGGAGAATGATGTGATTGACTTGACCCATTCCATTAGCTTAGCACTTGATCGTTTAGTATGTTGCTATTGCTTTCTTCATGACTTATACATGTTCCTATAACTATGAGATTATGCAACTCCAGTTTACCGGAGGAACACTTTGCGTGCTACCAAACTTCACAACGTAACTGGGTGATTATAAAGGTTCTCTATAGGTGTCTCCAAAGGTACTTGTTGGGTTGGCGTATTTCGAGATTAGGATTTGTCACTCCGATTGTCGGAGAGGTATCTCTAGCCCACTCGGCAATGCACATCACTATAAGCCTTGCAAGCATTGTAACTAATGAGTTAGTTATAGGATGATGTATTACGGAACGAGTAAAGAGACTTGCCGGTAACGAGATTGAACTAGGTATTGAGATACCGACGATCAAATCTCGGGCAAGTAACATATCGATGACAAAGGGAACAACGTATGTTGTTTTGCGGTTTGATCGATAAAGATCTTCGTAGAATATGTGGGAGCCAATATGAGCATCCAGGTTCCTCTATTGGTTATTGGCTGGAGACGTGTCTTGGTCATGTCTACATAGTTCTCGAACCCATAGGGTCTGCACGCTTAAAGTTCGATGACGGTTATATTATGAGTTTATGTGTTTTGATGCACCGAAGGTAGTTCGGAGTCCCGGGTGAGATCGGAGACATGACGAGGAGTCTCAAAATGGTCGAGACATAAAGATCGATATATTGGACGACTATATTTGGACACCAGAAAGGTTCTGGGTGAGATTGGTACAATACCGTTGCTCTGGGAGGTTATCGGAACCCCCTGGGAGGTATATGGGCCTTAATGGGCCTTAGTGGAAAGGACGGGAAAGGAGCAAGGGAGGGGGCGCCCTCCCCCCAAGCCCAATCCGAATTGGGAAGGGGGGCAGCTCCCCCTTTCCTTCCTCCCTCCTTCCTCTTCCTTCCCTCTCCCTCTCCAAATAGGAAAGGGAGGAGTCCTACTCTCGGTGGGAGTAGGACCCCCCCCCCTTGGGCGCGCCTCTCCCCTTGGTTGGCCTCCTCCTCCACTCCTTTATATACGGGGGAGGGGGCACCCCATATACACAACAATTGATCCTTGAGATCTCTTAGCCGTGTGCGGTGCCCCCCTCCACCATAGTCCACCTCGATAATATCGTAGCGGTGCTTAGGCGAAGCCCTGTGTCGGTAGAACATCATCATCGTCACCATGTTGTCGTGCTGTCGGAACTCTCCCTCAAAGCTCGGTTGGATCGGAGTTCGAGGGACGTCATCGAGCTGAACATGTGCTGAACTCGGAGGTGCCGTGCGTTCGGTACTTGATCGGACGGATCGTGAAGACGTACGACTACATCAACCGTGTTGTGCTAACGCTTCCGCTTTCGGTCTACGAGGGTACGTGGACACACTCTCCTCTCTCGTTGATATGCATCACCATGATCTTGCGTGTGCGTAGGAATTTTTTTGAAATTACTACGTTCCCCAACAGTGGCATCCAAGCCTAGGTTTTATGCGTTGATGTTATATGCATGAGTAGAACACAAGTGAGTTGTGGGCGATACAAGTCATACTGCTTACCAGCATGTCATATTTTGGTTAGGCGGTATTGTTGGATGAAGCGGCCCGGACCGACATTACGCATACGCTTACGCGAGACTGGTTCTACCGACGTGCTTTGCACACAGGTGGCTGGCGGGTGTCAGTTTCTCCAACTTTAGTTGAACCGAGTGTGGCTACGCTCGGTCCTTGAGAAGGTTAAAACATCACTAACTTGACGAACTATCGTTGTGGTTTTGATGCGTAGGTAATATAGGTTCTTGCTCAGCCCGTAGCAGCCATGTAAAACTTGCAACAACAAAGTAGAGGACGTCCAACTTGTTTTTGCAGGGCATGTTGTGATGTGATATGGTCAAGACGTGATGCTATATCTTATTGTATGAGATGATCATGTTTTGTAACCGGGTTATCGGCAACTGGCAGGAGCCATATGGTTGTCGCTTTATTGTATGCAATGCAATCGCCCTGTAATTGCTTTACTTTATCACTAAGCAGTAGCGATAGTCGCAGAACCAATAGTTGGCGAGACAACAACGATGATACGATGGAGATCAAGGTGTCGCGCTGGTGACGATGGTGATCATGACGGTGCTTCGGAGATGGAGATCACAAGCACAAGATGATGATGGCCATATCATATCACTTATATTGATTGCTTGTGATGTTTATCTTTTATGCATCTTATCTTGCTTTGATTGACGGTAGCATTATAAGATGATCTCTCACTAAATTTCAAGATAAAAGTGTTCTCCCTGAGTATGCATCGTTGCCAAAGTTCGTCGTGCCCAGACACCACGTGATGATCGGGTGTGATAAGCTCTACGTCCATCTACAACGGGTGCAAGCCAAATTTGCACACGCATAATACTCAGGTTAAACTTGATGAGCCTAGCATATGCAGATATGGCCTCGGAACACTAAGACTGAAAGGTCGAGCGTGAATCATATAGTAGATATGATCAACATAGTGATGTTCACCATTGAAAACTACTCCATTTCACGTGATGACCGGTTATGGTTTAGTTGATTTGGATCACGTGATCACTTAAATGATTAGAGAGATGTCTATCTAAGTGGGAGTTCTTAAGTAATATGATTAATTGAACTTAAATTTATCATGAACTTAGTCTTGGTAGTATTTTGCAAATTATGTTGTAGATCAATAGCCCGCGTTGTTGCTTTCATATGTTTATTTTGATATGTTCCTAGAGAAAACTGTGTTGAAAGATGTTAGTAGCAATGATGCGGATTGGATCCGTGATCTGAGGATTGTCCTCATTGCTGCACAGAAAAAATTATGTCCTTGATGCACCGCAGGTGACGGACCTATTGCAGGAGCAGAAGCAGACGTTATGAACGTTTCGCT